CATACAGTAAAGTACGTCTAGCCTCATATTTAGAAAAGGTCCCTTGTTTCTATAAGTAGGATGACAAAAGATTTCTTGCACATAGTAATTCTAGCCTCATGTTTTGGAAAGATCCCGTGTTTCTTTATGAACGATGACAGAAGATTTCTTTCACATAATACTTCTAGCCTAATATTTAGAAAAGGTCCCTTGTTTATATAAGTAGGATGACAGAAGATTTCTTGCACACAATACTTCTAGTCTCTTGTTTAGAAAGGTCACTAGTTTCTATAAGTAGGATGACAGAAGATTTCTTGCACACAATACTTCTAATCTCTTGTTTAGAAAGGTCACTTAGGATGATATAAGATTTCTTACACACAATACTTCTAGCCTCATATTTTGAAAAAGTTCCGTGTTTCTATAAATAAGGTGGAGCAAATTATGCTTGTCGAACGTAAGACGGTATCTTTTATCACAGATCTACATAATATTACACATTTGATCAAATCAATAAAATGTGTGCATGTTATGCAGGCATTTTAATAATTGTTACTTATTTACTTATATTGAAGATAAATCTAAATTATGAGTAAGAGGTAGTCCAACATAATGTGTAAAAAGGTAGTTCAACACCATTTGTAAAAGGTAGTCCAACATTATTAGTAAGAGGTAGTCCAACAGTGTAAAAAGTAGTCCAACGTTATGTGTAAACGATCGTCTAACCCAACATTATGTGTAAAAGGTAGTTCAACACTATTTGTAAAATGTAGTTCCACATTATTTATAAAAGCTAGTCCAACATCATGTGTAAAAGGAAGTCCAACGGTGTGTGTAAAAATTAATTCCACATTATATATGTAATAAGTAGTCCAACAGTATTCGTAAAAGGTAGTCCAACATTTTGTGTAAAGGGTAGTCTAACATTATGGGTAAAGTGCAGTCCAACATTATGGGTAAAGAGCAGTCCAACATTATGGGTAAAGAGCAGTCCAACATTATGGGTAAAGAGCAGTCCAACATTATGTGTAAAATGTTTTAAAACAGTATATGTACAAGGTAGAATCGACAAGGGCTTGGATATATGTTATCAACACCCAAAATTATACAGAAAGCCAGAACATAAAATTTCATATTCAAAATTTTCAGTGCCATCAACGAACTAGTTCCGTAATGTATAAACCATGAGTACTGGTTACTAGGTGAAATAATGGTCGAGGGCCGTAGGCCCGGGTCACTGTAAGAATGGTTTATATTACTTCAAACCCACACTGAATTTTATCAAAGGTAAATGGTTCATGATCTATTTAAGCTTACATTGTACTATTCAACTGTAAAATTCGTCCTTTGTGCCAAACTTGTTTTTGAAAAGTTTGTCGAGTGCTATATTATGTTATGTAAATTCTTTAAAATAAACTGTAGTCTATTCTACCTAAGTGGGGGTTAAGAAAGCCTGAACCCAGTCCTTTCCAAAACTAATTATTAGTTTATCAGTTTACTTCGTCAGGATTATAGTACAGAATATAATATCGGCATGATCAGAGCGAATTCTCAGGAATCGAAAGATGTTATTGACATTGATCTTGCTCTCAACAATAATTACCTTTACAGTTAATATTTATAGGTGAATATAAATCCAAAATCATCTTGATACAGGCTAATTACGTCAATAAATCACTGCAAAATCATAATAAAAATAGAATTAGACACATCAAATGTAATTAATTGTGTTGAACAAAAGATACATTTCAACGTCAAAGAATGCCATCTTTCTACCAGCATTATTGTTAAAATGTTCTAAAAAAAATTTGATTATATTTCTTTGGATTGATTCGGTTCACATGTCTTAGAATTGTACAGGGTGTCCAAAAAACAGGACTGTAAGAAAGTTGAATAACTTGGTCAATTTTGCATATTTTGCCTTGAAATTTCAGAATTATTCAGTTCATTCAATGTAAATTTTGTTGTGAAAGTTTGATAATAATCTACCAATTGAGTCAAAAGCTACAGCTCCTTACAAAACATGCCCCAAATGTGCAAATCTCATCTCTATGCATAATTCAATCCGGCGAACAAAGCTGTTGATGATCCTCCTACACACATGTCTTTCTGAATGGACAAGTTTGTTCCAAGAACAATTGCTACTGGCGCATCATCCTGATGAAGTGTTACAGCATCCATTGCGTTCTGAACAATGCACTCCCTGGGTGGCAATGAGGAAACATGGAATCATCAGTCCCTTTTGGTTCGAAGGTGACTGGGGACTTGCTATCACCATGAACAAGGATCAGTAAGTTCTCACCAAGTTTTGGAGGTCACTAAGCACCAGAAGGGACATCTAAGGATATAATTAAGCAGTGGTTTCAACAAGCCAATACCACCCCAACACTGCAAATGATATGCTGAAATGGTTTAGGCAATTCTTTGGTGGTCAGCTCATCAGTTGCAGAACGCAAACCATATGGGCAGCTCATTCGCCTGATCTAAATCCCCCAAATTTTCATCTTTGAGGATTTCTAAAAGCCAATGTGCTGACAGGCCCCTAACAATCTTAGGAGGGCAATAACTACCCCAATATTTACCATCCACATTAATGTGTATAGGTAAGGGTCATTAACAACTTTGTTCGCAGGATTCGTTTGTGCATAGAGAGGAGAAGTGCCCACTTTGAGCATGTTTTTTAAAGGACTGTAGTTTTTGACACAATAAACAGATTATCATCAAACTTTCAGAACAAAATTCACATTGAATGAACTAAATAATTCTTAAATTTCAAGGCAAAATATGCAAAATTGACCAAGTAATTCAACTTTCTTACGGTCCTGTTTTTTTTGGACACCCTGTACTTGAAAATTGTGTTGCTCGTATCAATACCGCAATGGCAGTTTGGAACAGTGGCGGATCTGAAAGCTAACAAGGTGGCACATTTCAAGTCAGAAAAAATAATTCGTAAAATCTTGGGCCCCTTTAACTAAAAATAATTTCGGAAATATAGGTCTCATTGTGATAATTTGGCCTAAAATTAAAAAATAAGGCCCAAAATGGCCAAGTAATGCCAAAAATGGACCACTAGTTGGGGCCCTAAAGAATTGCGAATATTGGAATAAAAACAATACCGATCATACTGACACTATGAAACATGTAAAAAAGTATATTGTACCACAAATTATAATTATATGTTGCCACTGAAACTACTAGATATAGTATGCTGCCCACTTGTTCTGAATTTAAACGGCTTTTAATACCATTTTGCCATTGTAATTGTTTTTTTCATTTTGTTATGAATATATGTTGCAACCATGAACATTTTGACCACTTGTAATGAAAGGTAATAAATAGGTATTATTGGTATAAATGCTATCACTTACCTATCATCGCAACTTTTTCCCTACTGTTCCATTTTTCCAACTTCAACTTGCAGGACTTATAAGGAATTGTTTTTACTGAAAGAAGACTATTCGTTTTCCTCTCCAGTCTTAGTATACTGAATACTTTAAACGTCATGCATGCAATAACCAAAAGTTCTTCCTATACTTTCGTACTGTGATGAATATACGGCACTATATTAAAATGAGTTTGACTTTATTGAATTGAACTTGATGGTGAAATTAATGCTGGTAAAATTGATACTCTAAATTGACGAATTGCAGTGGGTTCCGGAAATGATTCAAGATATTTTGCATGACAATTTTGTCCATGATTTAAGACGAGAGATAATATAAAACGTTAAAATGTTGTCTAGTATACGATTTGTTTTTTCAATGTTAGAGTAATTTATTCAACTGCATTCGCACATACTCCACAAATGTCCAAACTGAAAATGCTGGATGAATGGCGGATAGAACTACAATGAAAAATTATTCTAAAATTCTTAATTACTGCATGACGGGCTACAGGTTACTCATTTCTCGGACTACATTGCCCCTTTATGTTTGGCAATTTTAACAAATTCATACACGCAGTTTCTTATCTTATGGAGGAGATGTACTCGAACTCTATATATTATGTCAGCTACTCAGACACTATTAGAATCAACGCTGTCTGACAGATAGATATTTCTGCCTCAAAGTCCAATTTAAATTGCCTATTACGGTAATAGTTTGGAGAGATAGGACTGGCAACATTTTTTGATTGATCGAAACCCGTTTATAGTAAATAAATGAGGAATATCGTGGGGATACTCATGGTCAAAAACAATTACATTATCTTATGATGAACGCTATACTTATCTAGTGCATTAATATGTGAGGTCGTAACCATTGTCTAGTGATGAACACTAGTGCATGTTTATTAATATGTGAGGTCGAAATTATCATTTAGTGATGAACAATGGTGCGTGTTTATTAATATCTGAGGTCGTAACCATTATCTAGTGATGACCACTAGTGCATGTTTATCAATATCCGAGGTCGTAATTATTGTCTATTCACACATAGCTAGGCAAGATGTGTCCGATGATTCCAGCCAATCCGAACAGAGTATTAACATGATGAACAGTGTGTGAAATATCAATAACGCATTTGTTGTGTACAGTACAGATTGAAATGGAGTTTTCCAATACTTGCCCCTTGCAAAAGTTTCATTTTGAAAATATGTTTTCTAGTGATTTTGTATCTTCTAGGTGATTTTATAGAAAATGTATGAAGAGAATTTATGCCTAAGACTCAATGCATTGTGGCTGCTTCATTCCACTCAGATGTTGTTTCCTTAACGTTGAATTCCCCTGCGGGGTCATGCAAAGATTTGGAAACAACATCTTTATGGAATGGTCCAGCACACAATGCACTGGGTCCAAGACTTAAATCCTTGAGTAAGGTACACGAGTGCATGTTTATTAGTATATGAGGTCGTAATTATTATCTGTGATGAACATAAGTACATTTTTATTAATATCCGAGGTCGTAATTATTTTCTAGTGATGAAAACTAGTGCATGTTTATGAAAATCTGAGGTTGCAATTATTATCTAGTGATGAACACTGGGGCATGTCTATTAATATTTGAGGTCGTAATTATTATCTAGTGATGAACATAAGTGCATGTTTATTAATATCCGAGGTCGTAATTGTTATCTAGTGATGAAAACTAGTGCATGTTTATGAAAATCTGAGATTGCAATTATTATCTAGGGATGAACATTGGGGCATGTCTATTAATATGTGAGGTCGTAATTATTATCTAGTGATGAACATAAGTGCATGTTTATCAATATATGAGGCCGTGCTTTGTGTTTCAGATTTCTCTGCTAAGTATAACACACCTAGTTTGACTTTAAAAAATGATTTCTGAGTCATATTATTCAAATATCAATTACTGAACTGCACCTTAAAAATGACTAAACATTGTACATACATCCAGTGCCCTCTATATATAAATTACTTCGCGATTTAATGATGTTCATAATATGAGTTCATTATATTTGTTTATATTGTTCACTTGTCGCTATATTGTGAATGCACAGACAAATGCAGAACGTATAAAATCACATGGTTGACTAAACAATTTCCTCTGGTACATAACGCTACACTCCTCATCTCTACGTGGATTGTGTTTGGCCCAACCTTTATATCTATAACACAATGCAGTACTCATATAGTGAAAATATAATGAATAACCGCATTTCTAGTAACATTTTTTCTTTCATAAATGACATATACATGTCAGACCTGAGTATTATCTAACTTTCACATTTTTATATCATATTATAACATATAAATTTTGAAGAATTATTATTGCATGTAAACTTTACACTGATTGTACAAAGCAAAATACTTTTAAAAGTTTAAAAGGTCTTGTCTCATTCACATTCCCTTTTATTTGTACCAATATACGAAAAAATGCATTTATAGTTTGACTTAAACATTAGAAAATGCTTTAATAATTTAGGATTGTAGAAAGACTAACTCACTCGGAATGCTCGGAATCAACCCATGGAAAATTAAACTCTGTCCTAAAAATAACAAAATTGTTAACATGATTAATTTAAGTTGTTTTACAATAATTTATATTTAGAAATAGCAGTAATTCAACTATACTTTTTAAATGTAGGAATAAAGACTTCAAAATTGTCCTTTTAATGTCCTTATATTTACTTAAATGAATAAACGCCAGGAACTCTCGCGATTACTGCGACAGCGCATGAGCTTAGCATGTTCGGGACAATTCCACAGATAAATGCTGTAATGTAATCCAATGTGAAAATATTGAAATCTTTGGATTGATTATGAAAAAACGAAGATTTTCGGTACATAACCCCATATACCACAGGATAGCTCCATATGTCCCCTTTCAAATCAAAACAAAAATTGCATAGAACACCCATTGAGAAAAAAGATATGACTGCTTTTTCCGCCATCTATCCGAATTTTAAACAATTTTCAATAGATTTCAAACTCAAGACCACCGTCACAAAAAGTCAAAATATTTGAAGTGAACCGAATCATTTCGCCATACTTTTTGTAAAATTATATACACACGAGATAAACAAAAAAAATATAAAATCTGTACATTTTCACTGGTGATTGCACTGATAAATATTGATTTCAATCAACCATCATCCCGATTTTAAATTTAGATTGTTTACCTTTTCACTAGCGCCATCTGTGGAGTTATCCCTTCACTGCTCTAGACCGCTCCTCAAATAGAGATCATTTTACTATAAAATCTACTCACAAATAAGTGTCAGCAATGAACTCATAGGAGGTGACATCCGGAATGGCAGCCAGAGTTGCTCGCTCATGTTTTTGACTACAGAACACATTGGCAACATCACTTGTAACCTTCGTCTCATTTTCTACATACTATAACACAAAACATATGTACACTGCACACAATGTCGACTTTTGGCTATTGCAACCGAAGATACCTCAAGAAAAACCGGAGGTTGCCAAAGATTTTCTTTGCAAACGAAGTTGGCCGAGGGTACCACGAATGTGAAGAGGACGTCTCTAATTGGTCAAAAAGAGAGGCTCGGCATTCTCCGTCAGATTGAATCGACAAAATTCGGTTGGATGGCTTACCTTCGGCTGCATGGCCCAACCCCGATTGAATGGAAAATACTGCTGTCCCGTTTGGTGTACCAAACATTGTTGACAGGCTAGTTGTATGAAGCACATACAGACTTTTGATATGAAAATATCAATCAAGTCTTCAAATGTGGTTCTGTCATAATAGACAGATGACTACAGTACCTGATAGCACACACCACGATGTGAATCCCAACCAGCCGGACATCCGTCAGGTTGAACAACTAACTCAGGACATACAGGACAGCATTGCGAAGGTTCTTTTTCAGGGCGTTCACATACAACAGCAGGGCATGACATCACCATACAAGTTGCACCTCCGTATAGACCGATTGGATCAAACCCGTCCTCACATGTACAATCTGTGCATGCATCAGGCTTGAAACTTTCCCCAATAACATATGTCACTCCATCATGGGTACATCCTTTTGGTAATTCGGGGCACACAGGACAGCATTCACCTTTTATAAAAACATTCTCACAATCACATTTTAATAATTGAATCGATAATCCTCATAAATCATGATTTTTATAATACTTCCAAAGTTATATCATGTATTTTTTCTGGAGTGCCAAATTCATTCATTATAACTACTCTCTCTTTTAAATTATTCAACGTGACAATATTAGTGATATGCATGGATAAGTCATCAAACGACAAAGAATACATAATCATACAACGACATTCACCTTCTAAACGTATAGGATCCTTGCATTTTAACTGAGGACAATCTGCTTGACATATTGTACCTCCAGGCTGGCATGTGCATGTATTACAAGAGTCTCTCACATCTACGAATGAAGTCCCATAGGAATATGCTTTGTTATTGTAAACACAGCCTTCACTTGGTGAACCTACAAGTGAATATGTAATTGAGAAATCACTTGGTGAATCTACAAGTAAATAATTAAGAAAGGATAACCAATCAAAACGAGACAAATCACCATAATATCCCAATTTTACATTTAAAGAATTATAAGTGGTGCATATATAGCATTTAGCAACCTGAAGGCTAGTTTAATGCCGCGGTCACGTTTGCTCCGATTTTTACTACGGCGCCCTGCCGATTGGGTGTTTTGTTCAAAATTGTAAAAATAACACCCCCAATTCAAGGTGTACAATCCGTTTTGAAGAAGAAATTGTACTGTACCTGTTCTACAGCACAAACTGATCATAGTGTCTCCCTGGTAACATATCGAGTTTCTAGGGCAAGCCCTTACAGCACTGCAGCGTATCAGCCTCCCACGGCGTGTCATCGGTGACTTGCCCAGTGGACACTGGAACTCTTGGCCAAGCACAAGGTGAAGGCACACAAGGAATAATAGGGCACGTAACGCTACGGACATCTTAAACAGGTTAATTCTGTTAATCAATTTAAACTTTCTTTTTTAATAGTTCGGATGAAATATTTTTTATATTAAGAGAAAAACATAAATTATACAATTAATGAACAAAACTAAATGATTTAAACTCTTGAAAATATTAAGAAAATTAAAATAAAATTCTTAAAATTGTTTATTTTGTTTTTTTTACACAAATATGATGCAATCCTTGGATCTAAAGAATAAAGGTATCCCAAAAACTGATTACTTTACCTTCAATCCTAGGAGTCCAAATATTGTTAAAATTCCATGAGATTCTATTTTTAAAGATTCACTGTAATCAGATTAAACATTGCACTCGTACATTCTATTCATTCTATTGAGGACATTATACATTTAAAAGATTAAAAACAAATGATTGAAAAGTTCAAATAATCCAAGGCTAATTAACATTTTTCAAAACCTCGATAGTTTCAATGATTCTAATTTAAATGATACAGCAGCTGTTATCAACATCTTAAGGAGGATTAATTAATTCTGGGATGCGTTTCAAGATGAATATCATCACAGATTAATTCAATAGGTTTAACTATATAATGTGGTTAATTTATTTTAATTGTACTTATAACATGGATTAATACACGACCAAGCGTATTAGCATTGAATACAAAACACAGTAAAATCTTGTTAAGTGAACACCTATGAATCCGCAATGACCACTGAAGGGAGGATTTTGAAACATAGAGCAAAGGGCATGGAACAATGTTCACTAGAGAGGTGTTCACTAGCGTAGGCTTTACTGTAAATATCTTTTACATTTTCAAAATTATAAAACTGTATTCAAGAAGAAGTATCCCACACAGTACACTCATACACTTTGGCAATTCAATCTGACGGAGAATACCGAGCCTCTCTTTATGACCAATTAGAGACGTCCTCTCCACATTCATGGTACCCTCGGCCAACTTCGTTTGCAAAGAAAATCTTCGGCAATCTCCGGCTTTTCTTGAGGTATCTTGGTTTGCAAGCCAAAAGTCGACACCCGTTTCAAATTTCATCTGGAGGCCAACGTGTAAGACTATTATAAGCATAGCCCACGTGTACACCAAGTTTTAGAAGCTGTTAAAGACATGCCTTATCATCGACAACGTACAGGGACAAAATATACCATCGTACACTTTAGATGTACGGTGTCACTATTAACTGATTTAAAGGAAAAACAATGATGTAGGTGTGATATAGGTTTTGAAAATGATCATGTTTTATTTCGTGTGTATTCGATTTGGAAGACATATACCCAGCAAACAGTGACGTCCATGTAACGTCACTCATATGTGGTATATAAGTTCACTGGAGACGTTGTCTATTTCCGTTATATAAACGTCAAAGCAACGTAAAATTGTGACATTCAGCAAAACGTCGGTGGATGGTTAAAAAATGACGTTGTAGTAATGTGTTAGTAAAGTTCGAAATTTGTGCTGGTGTGAAAAACGTAACAATGACGTTGAATTTTTACCAGTTTGGTTCATTTGCAACGTAATATAAACGGTAAAATTTAACGTTGTCGTAACGTTTTTTAAATGTGTAAAATATTTGTAAGTGCAGGAAACATTACAAAGACGTTGCAGTTCTCACCAAATTGTTTCATTTGCTACGTAATATAAACGGTAAAATTTGACGTTGTCGTAACGTGTTTTAAATGTGAAAGATATTTGTAAGTGTAGAAAACGTTACAAAGACGTTGTGTTCTCACCAAATTTGGTACATTTGCTACGTAATGTAAACGGTAAAATTTGACGTTGTCGTAACGTGTTTTAAAGGTGAAAGATATTTGTAAGTGTAGAGAACGTTACAAAGACGTTGCACTTCTCACCAAATTGTTTCATTTGCTACGTAATATAAACGGTAAAATTTGACGTTGTCGTAACGTGTTTTAAATGTGAAAGATATTTGTAAGTGTAGAAAACGTTACAAAGACGTTGTGTTCTCACCAAATTTGGTACATTTGCTACGTAATGTAGACGGTAAAATTTGACGTTGTCGTAACGTGTTTTAAACGTGAAAGATATTTGTAAGTGTAAAAAACGTTACAAAGACGTTGCACTTCTCACCAAATTGTTTCATTTGCTACGTAATATAAACGGTAAAATTTAACGTTGTCGTAACGTTTTTTAAATGTGTAAAATATTTGTAAGTGCAGGAAACATTACAAAGACGTTGCAGTTCTCACCAAATTGTTTCATTTGCTACGTAATATAAACGGTAAAATTTGACGTTGTCGTAACGTGTTTTAAATGTGAAAGATATTTGTAAGTGTAGAAAACGTTACAAAGACGTTGTGTTCTCACCAAATTTGGTACATTTGCTACGTAATGTAAACGGTAAAATTTGACGTTGTCGTAACGTGTTTTAAACGTGAAAGATATTTGTAAGTGTAGAAAACGTTACAAAGACGTTGCACTTCTCACCAAATTGTTTCATTTGCTACGTAATATAAATGGTAAAATTTGATGTTGTCGTAACGTGTTCTAAATGTGAAAGATATTTGTAAGTGTAAAAAACGTTACAAAGACGTTGTGTTCTCACCAAATTTGGTACATTTGCTACGTAATGTAAACGGTAAAATTTGACGTTGTCGTAACGTGTTTTAAATGTGAAAGATATTTGTAAGTGTAGAAAACGTTACAAAGACGTTGCACTTCTCACCAAATTGTTTCATTTGCTACGTAATATAAACGGTAAAATTTGATGTCGTCGTAACGTGTTCTAAATGTGAAAGATATTTGTAAGTGTAAAAAACGTTACAAAGACGTTGCGTTCTCACCAAATTTGGTACATTTGCTACGTAATGTAAACAGTAAAATTTGACGTTGTCGTAACGTACTTGTTTTAAATGTGAAAGATATTTGTAAGTGTAGAAAACGTTACAAAGACGTTGCAGTTCTCACCAAATTGTTACATTTGCTACGTAATATAAACAGTAAAATTTGACGTTGTCGTAACGTGTTTTAAATGTGAAAGATAATTGTAAGTCTAGGAAACGTTACAAAGTCCTTGTTTTCCCACCAAATTGGTTCATTTGCCACGTAGTGAAAATGGCTAATTGTAACGTTGTCAAAACATGGTTTGAATGTGAAAAATATTTGTAATTGTAACACACGTTACAAAGACGTCATTTTCTGACCAAAATGGTTCATTTTCAACGTAGTGCAAACGGTTAATTTCAACGTTGTCGAAACGTGTTTTCAATTGAAATGTAAAAAAATATTTGTAAGTGCAGGAAACGTTACAAAAAGACGCTATGTCCTCACGAAATTGGTTTATTTGCAACGTTGTCGAAACAGTTAATTTTGACGTTGACGAAACGGGGTTTAAACGTGAAAAATACATATACATGTATGTGAAAAAGAACGTGACAAAGACGTTGTGGTCTCAACAAATTCGTTTAATTTGTGACGTGAAGTAAATGTTAAATATATAACGAATATACATGTATGCCTCGAGTTGTGGTAACTTTAAATACTGATCGGTGGAGGCACAGGCATATGTTGGCTCACACAGATGAACTTAACGTGGTAATTAAGAGTGAGAGTGGAAATATGATGTAAAGAAAACGTTTCTCCGACGTTGTAATTTTGCCATTGGTTATTGCTGACAAAAGTCTGACGTTCTGTCCCGGGGGGTTCATTCCAATATACCTCTTAATACCTATGTGCCGCGCCAAAGACCCCCTTTTTGAGCATTTTTTCCATGTCAATTTCCTCTCAAAATTGGAAGTTTCCATGTATTATTCCTCTCAGAGTTATAAAATTCCATATTTTCTTCCTCTGAACTTCATAGATGTCCATGTCGACTTCCTCTGGAGCTTGCCGGTGTAAAAGAAATTATGGTCCCCTGGGGATTATGGTCCCCTTTCTTAAAGGCCCTTACTGGCCCCGATTGTGGATACGATAATAAGGGAGAGTTGTATTTAGGTCACCATATAAATCAATGGAAAGTAGGACCATAATTTGATAGGACCTCCTACCCTTTTACACCGGGACTAAAGTTTGCGAATTATCGGTAAATTGACTAAAACTCCACTCTTCCGGCGATTTGTCAGACCTCGGGACAAAAATTTTAGTCCCTTTCAACAAGGGCGAGCGTTACAAACGGAAAGTACATCGTTCGCAAATTTGATGTATTTCTCGTTCGGCTTTTTATCGTATTCTGTTCTATCAACCAATAGAAATAGAGGAATTCCCGCGTCGAAATCAACATGGAGGACAGTTCCAAGTTCAAGAATATTGCTGCTTAAAAGCAACTTGGGAGCCGTACTGCCAGCTTTCGAAGGTAAGAATGATGCATGCATGTTACACAATCACCAAAGGTTAAAATGAAAGCATTCCATGGCCGGTACTTGCAGCGAGAACACAAATAATCTAATGTGAAAGTTGGGATCGTTTCAATTTTCAAAATTTTTGTCAGTTGAAATTAGACTTTTGAATATTCTGATATTTGAATCGATGTTATTGATTTTCAATTTCATCACGATTTTCAATCATAATTCCTGGTTCATAATTTTCGTTAGGTCAATTACAAGGGGTCCAGGGGTCAATTAACCATCAGCGACTTTCAAGTCAGATCCGGTCCCTGGGATCTGGCGCAGAGGTGTTGATTGGATGGTGAAGTGTTTATGGCAAATGGTTTATGCAGTTATCTTAATCTTGATGGTGATCTCTGTTAGATCATGGTTAGATCTACCTCTTTCAAAGAATAGACATTGCCCGGGGAGTCAGTGATTGCCTTTAGCCTGATAGATAATCATGATGGCAGAAATACAGAAATACACAAACATGTATCAGTTTCATATGCTTTAGAAAATGTACATGTTTGCGAACAAATAGTTCAGAAGACAATAGAATCGTCGATTTAATTCCTCACTTAAGTTACATAAACGGTTTTTTCGAAAAACAGTTAAGATCTGCACTTTTAACCCGAACCGTTTGTGTAAAGTTGGGGACAAAAATAAATCTCAACCCTCAAAAGTTGTCAAAATGAGCTAAATTCTAAGTTTCATGTCTCAAACTCTCCCAAGTGGTAGAAAAATAATTCCCATCCACTTTAAGTAGCACAATAAATGAATCCAAAGCCTCATACCTGCAAATGATGGATAAATCCCTACCAAATCGGACTAATGTTTTCATGAATCGCCATGTTTGTGATCCAAGGACGATTGACTCCCAGAATGCAACATCAAGTAACCTTATTTATTCGTGACGTATTTCAAAACGGCGGAATGGCATTTTGAAAGCTGACACGTGTCATGTTGCATTCTGGGAGCCAACCCACATTGCGGCGTAATCTGGCTCCTAAATCACCTCAACATTTGAAGAGTCGGC